CTCTGCCACTGCCACTCTTTACCTTCTCGAACCTCTTCCCTCCATTTTGGTGACGTTGCATACATGTAATCTGGAAATGTCCTATTTTCCCGCACTTCCTACAACCTTGATCACGTGCTGGGCAACTCTTATCTCTTGCAAAATGTCCTTCCCTTCCTTTCTAGCCTTTTTCCTTTCTCTCACAATGCCTGCGTTCCTCGCTCCACCCACGTTTGCTCCTGGATCCTCATGCTTTCCACACACTACTGAAATTTTTCCTGCCAACAGCGTTCATGTGACTCTGGCTGAAGTTTTCCTCCATTTCTTTCAAATTGCAGCTAACGGCTTCCTGCGCCCAATAAACAATCTGGGGTAACAGTTTCCTGCCCTAAAAACTTAAGACCTAAATGATTTACGTAGCAGTTATCAATAACTTGATGATGAATGTAATCATCCTGTAGGACTCCGAAATCACAGCTCGCAGCCCCCTGCTGAAGCCTACAAACAAATTGGTCCACTGTCTCATAACTAGCTTGTGCAATCTGTTTGAAAAAGTGCCTTTCAAATGGTACAGTTGACTTTGGAACAAAATAGTCATCAAGCGCCTTCATCGTGGTGGTGAAAGAGAAAATCTCTTCTTCGCTGACCATTGTAAAAAGATTTGCACATTGACTCCTGCAGCGTGTAAGAGAAGAGCTCTTTTCTGCCCTTCATCTGTAACCTGTTTTCCTGTCAGATACGATGCAAAAGATCGTTTCCATCGCTTCCATCGTTGGCTGATACCATTCAGATCGCCTTTTGGGTCGAACGCCGTCAATGACCCAACGTCCAGCAAAAGCATTATCGCATCAACACCGCCAGATCCCACTTTGTTGCTTGCATTCACCGTGCCCCCACGGCATCTTTGAATTTGTCCCAATTAAAAACCATCCAAATGTCTCAACTGAAAATCATCCTCATCGCCAATGTAAAGTACTGGGTGTGCTGGCTACAATTACACAACTAACAACCTTTAGTGAATTATTTCCCACTTTTTAAATATGTACTATCTAAATCTTTATAACACCTAACAACACCTACTACCAGTTATGAAATGCATAATGAAGAGGTAATTCCCATGACACTACAGTTATGTGTGAAGTAAGACTTCATATGCTCTGGGTTTGTTTGGATCTCTTTATGTACATCTGCTTATGTACATACGTTATATACATACATTAAGTTTTCAAACCATTCTTAAATCTCTCACTCAGATGTCCTTTGCTTTAAAATTGGGAGTTTCCATCCTGGTACCGAATTTGACCTCAGCCATCTTTAATGATTAACAAGGTCATGTGACATAGTTGTGTAAAGGGTCTATCACATGCACATGCACAAAATGATCAAGAAAGACAGAATTGGGCCTTTTTCCAAAAAGAAAGTGTTATTTTAAGGGGCAACGCCGTAAGAACCTAAAAGTGACAACTCCCAAAGCAGAGTTACTTGTGGTATGATTAGGAACTTTACTTGAACAAAAACCAAATACACACCACTTATCTCCTTGTGTTTCACTGCTGTGGAGGTCACATTCTCTTCAAGGATTGGACTGGTTTTCTTTTTTCATTGACAGGTGAAAGGCGCACAGCAATACTTTGTCTGTCTTGGGTTTGCTACCAAACCAAAAAGAAAGGGTCCACTCTTGTTGTTCTCCAGATGCGGACTGTTTGGATGAGGTACTATTTGCCTCGAAGATAATATCAAAGAAAACAGATTTTAACTCTTGTGCTACTTTGAGCTGATTGCAGGAAAAATATAGTTCTTAAGAGGAAAGGTTTAATTGTCTTGTTAAACTGCAGGTTTTCGTTATTTCTTTGTCTGAGCTGTCTGGTCACTAATGATGAAATGGAAGCACTCAACAGGATAATTGGTAAAGGAAATAATATAACTCTACAGTGTTAAAAGGAAGGGGTGCGAGATTTTTCCCAATAGTGAAAGCTAGAAAGAAAAAGCAGTAGTGACTTCTTGCAGTGGTGGCGGCCAAAGCAAAGAAACATGAGTCAGATTCTCTTTAGGGCAGAAATGTACAGTTGGAAGTTGTCGGAACGAAAGACAACAGCATAAATTGTCAGAACTAAAGGAAGATGGTTTTCCAAAAAAATTATTAGTTAAAGAAATTGCAGGTCTTTACATTGATCTCTAAATACACTTAAAAGGCGGATGAACATTTTAAACAATGTACTGTACTGTTTAATTTTTGTGTTCATTACTTTGTCGATTGCATTTCTGAAATCTGACTCCTTCTTTGGAGGTGACTTGATGCAGTTGATAAGAGTAGTCCCATCGATTTTATGCATTTCCTTAATAGACATGTCATTGCCATATTCGAGAGTAGTAAAGCGGTCTTGTTCAAATGCTGGATCCAAAAATCTTATACCCAAGGGTTGTCTTCTTGTCAAGCTGTTGTGAAGGTCTTTTTTTTCAGTTTGATTCATCTAACAATACTTACCCAACAAAAGCTACCTTTAGATAAACTAAAAAAAATAGTAACAATAAAGAAAAAATAAATTATGATACTTTACAATGAATTACAGTACATTGCATTACAGTCTTGCTACAAAAGTACAATAAAATGCAAGTGTAATGCTGAGTATAACCTTACTAGTTGTTTAATTGTTAGCAAACAAACTTCTCAATTAAAGGCTTCCATTTCTTATAATAATATTTTTGTTTTTCTATCTCGGCTTTGTTTACCACTATAGTTACATAATCACTTCATAACAAAGGCTCTTCTCTGATACTGCAGCAGTATATAATATTTCGCCGGTAGTAAGAGATGATTAGTTAACTTATTGAGGTGATTGTTACCAATAACACCATACAAGATTTTAATGGTTGATAGTTCTAGCCCTATTGATACGTGAGACTTGTACCAGTCCAGGAAAGCTTCCTAGAACTCTGAGACGAACTGACACGAGATTAGCATGTGCTTCAGATCTTGTTTTGTTCCCAAGCATAGATAGCAGAGATCACTGTTGGCGAGATTAGCTCTGAACAATATTTACTCAGTAAAACCTATGTCATGTAAAATCTTGTATTGGAACATTATTAGCTTTGTTTCTTTGGTGCAAAAAAAAGCAAAGTTAAAGTAGCCGTGTATGTGGTCTGGTGGTAACCCATTGTCAATACGGCATTGTGTGGCTCTAGGTTCCTCAAATATGTGATTAAAAAAACTCTCGGGTATAGCCTTGGTTGTTAGTGCTTTCAAGCTCTGACGTTGCTGTGTAGGTTGGTGTTGTTGTGCATTTATTTGTTTAATACATTTTTTATATTCATTTGGGCATAACGTTTATTACTCTGTAATAAGTCAAAAAGTGTGTTTTTATCTTGTAACGGGTTTTAAATTCTTCATAAGTAAGGAAATCAAGATCAAGATTACGATCGAGAAGGCTTTTTATAGTGGAAACTCCTCTACTAAGCCGTGTTCGAAAGAAGATCGTAATATTATCAATTTTAATATCTTTGTTGTTCCATATGATCGTGTTTCTAGTTAATGGCTTAGTATTAAACTCAAACCAGTATTGCAGTGTTCTTATGTAGAAGAGTGGTAACTCCTTAATGTTGATATCTTTCCTGCTGCAGTTGCACTTAGAGAGGAAGGAAAAACCTCCCAAGTGTGAAGTGGCTTGATTAGGAATAACCGTCCATGCTGAATTCTCATTCAGTGTAAAGTGCTTTATCCTAGTGCATTTGTGACAGTGAAAGGCGAAATGAAGGCTAACGGTTATCCGTTTCAAGAGGGTTAGCGTTTGTTATCCATTCGTTGTTCTTTCGTACGCTTTTAAAAAACCGTTTGAAAAAATTAGCATTTGTCCGAACCGTTTGCCTATCCATTCAAAAAAAATTAACATCCGTTCGAACGGTTCGGCTATCCGTTAAAAAAAATTAGCATCTGTTTGAACGCTTTGCCTGTCCATTCAAAAAATTTGGTATCCGTTCAAAGGATTCCAACATCCGTGCAAATGGTTAAGACATCCATTTGAAGGATTTTTGTATCTGGTCGCAAACTGAACATGTCCATTCCAAAGGTTGCAGCATCCCTTCGAACGATTTAGCCTCTCATCCTCGACATTTTCCTATCCGTTCGATGTGAATGTAAAAGGATAAAATGACGATCTGAACACTAACAAACATTCGATATTTTCAGACAATAATTTCCTACTGACAGGTAAGAACTATCCTTGTGCCTGCAGTACTGTATCTTTTTGTCGTAGCAACGATTGTGACAGCAATCGTTATCCTGCAACAAGACGCAGCAAGAGAAAAACCGGATAGTCACGGCTTTACTTACGACGCACAAATCCAAAGATACGTAAAGATGGCTTATTTCTTTATCAGTGACTCCAACGAGATTGTACAAAAGGATAAGATATTTATGCGAGGAACTTGCAGCAATTGTTTTAAAGGTCACCCTTGTTCAGGACAGTTTTCAGCGGAGACTGTTCTTTACAACTTATATAACTGCCTTGAGCTTTCGAGCAGCGAACTTGACCTTCAGGTCCTCTCCAATATTCACGTCTTCACAAAAACTGAAAAAATCAGCGACAAAAGGAATAGAAGTCCTTGATGCAGCTTCACTTATCAAACAATTCCAATCTGCAAGGAGATGTTCTTACATCTTTACGGAATTGGCTATTCCATATTTCGAAGACTAAGAGAACATTATCAGGAACACAGTATTTATCCAAGAACTCATGGAAACACCAAACGAGTGCCTAAAAGCGCAACTTCCAAAAAATCGCTTGAGGCTGTTCATGCATTTATTGACAATTATGTTGAAGAAAATGCGATCGTGCTTCCTGGAAGGTTCCCGGGATTTAAAAGTGAAGAGATGAGGCTCTTGTCTTCATTGGAAACAAAGATGAGCGTTTGGAGGGAGCACGAGAAAACTTGTGGTGTTTTAAACGAGAGGCGTAAGTTACAAGAAATTCTTACAGCTGTGGGACGAATTTTATCCTGACGTGGTCATCTCTAAACCCATGATGTATCTTTGTTTAACGTGTCAGCAAAACACGACGAAACTGCAGCGAGCTGCTAACCTCTCAGATGAAGAAAAATCAGATTGTGTAAAGGCTCACCAGGAACATTTGGACATTGCACAAAGCAAGAGAGAATGTTACAGGAACCCTGGTAAGGAATGCGAGAGATTTCTTCAAACAATTGACACTAATACTCTGCTGATCTGTGAAACCCGAGGGGCCTGTTCTTTAAATGCATCAATACATTACTCATGACTTTGCACAACAGATACATGTACCAAGCAATGATTGAATAACCATGATGGACTGGGAGAACATCATGCGCATCTTTATGCGGCCAATTGCACCGGCCAAAACAAAAACAGTTTTTTCCTTTGGTATCTGACATACAGAATTTTGCTGAAACTTCACCGCTCCATTACATGCTCTTTTCTAATAGCAGGATGCAAAGTTTGGTCCTGATCAATCCTTTGGCTTGATTAAGAAAGTATATAAGGTGACTCATGTCTCTTGATCGTATGAATTTGCTAGATTGGTTGAGACCTCTAGTAACAGTGGCTTAAACAAAGCACAGCTGGTTGGAGCCCATGATGGTCGAATCATTGTTACTGTACATGACTGGGCGTCATTCCTTGGCCAGTATTTTAGAAAGTTCCCGAACATTAAGAAGTGTCATCATTTCCGGTTTTCTAAGGAAAACCCTGGAATGGTTTATTATAAAGAATTTGTGAACAACCCTGAACATTCTTTCATGTTGTTTAAAACTCAAGCCGTCCTTCCACCCTCCACAGCTACTCCTCCAGTTATATATTCGAGCGAACTGTCTCAAGAACAAACACTTAAGCTCTACCGTGAGATAGGACAATTTTGTAAGCCAGGAACAGAGGACATTGTAGCTCCTGCTCCTTAGCTCTTGTCAAACTGCTAAAATTTATCGATCGAAAATATTCCCTTGTAGAATCAGACACTATGTAGAGTCTATGCAGATGCTATGTCACAAAGCTATGTAAAACCTATGTCAATCAGTCATACACTGCTTTAACCAGGTCCTATGTTGTTTCTATGCCAGGACTATTTTTTTGTATCGAAAATGCTATGTTTTCACTAGTCAAACGGAACCTTCTTAAAAGCTATGCAGTTTTTAGAGGTAGGAAAAAAGGAAGAAATGACATAGTTTCCACATAGCCTATACATATAATTTACTTAGCTTTTGGAAAGAGATTTTAGACTTCATAGTCAACCTTATACAAAAATCAAAGAAAATAAATAGCCTTCACATAGGACTGAAATAGAGTTTACATAGTAAAATGGAACAGGGAACAGTTGATTAAATAGCTTTTGAATAGGGTTTGCTTAGAATTTAGATAGCCTAGAAATATTAAAAACATATGATAAGCATAGCCTTTTTTAAAGGTGACATATATTCTGCATAGCATTAAAATAGGGAAAACACAGAACAAATAGTCTTTGCATAGGTTTGAAATAGGATTTTAATAGTATTTGAGTAGGTAAAACATATCACATACACAGCCTTTAATTAGACTTCAAACAGAAATTACATAGAATTGACATGGTCTTTAATGTATGTAGGTTTCGATCTGCTTAAGCAAATGTGGTGTTTAAAACACGCTCGTAAAAATCACCAGAATAATAGAAACAGTATAAACATATGAATAAGAATACCTTCTACATTGGTAAGAAATAGGTTTTGAAACGAAAAATTGAAAAACTATAGCAATATAATACCACGAACACTAATACAACACGAATGCAGTATTTTCATGGAGCAACTTCTGAATCGAAACTCCAAGTTAAAGTTTGATTTATTGCTTATCGTGTAGACTTTTGGCAGATGTCGTGCTCTTCAGTGCCATACAGTTTGCTTTTGACAGCAACGAATAAGTATCTGCAGACAGAAAGTGGAGATTTTAATGCAAATGGACACAAAAACAACCTGACGTTTTAGAATTAAAACGAACGAGCATCAAAGCGTGATCGAAGGTGACCGATCCAACTTGTTCAGATACGCAAAAAGGGGAGGCAACACAGGCAAATCGAAACTTAAATTGAGAAAAACATCACTTACCAACGTTAATAATAATAATAATAACGCGAATATTTATACAGGATAACCTATCAGTTCTAATAAAAAGAACAGTTATCAAAAGGGTCCTGGAATACTTCTTGTTGAACCTGACAGGAAAAAGACTTTAAATTGAAGTAAAAAGAAGCGTTTTCTTGCAAAACGCACAGTTTGACAGTTCGTCTTCTTTGACATGAAAGCGCCCACGTGGAAACAGACAATTTAATTTTCACACCTTTTTATTGGTTGAAAAGGCCCACGTGACGATAATACGCAAAATACGCATGTGTTGAACTCACAGGCTTCCCTGGGAACTAGTGGAAACAAAATGGCTGACAAACACCGAGGACTGCAGCTATTTGCCACTAGCCACTAGCGACAGCGCGTCACCCAAGCCGAAAATGAACTGAAAACTAATCAAAACACTTGAAAGGGGCTGATACCAAGTACTTTTAACGCCTGCTTATGATTAGCGTTTATACTTCTCCGAAGTAAATATTCCGACGAAAAATGCTTGGTCGTCTGGTTTGCGAAAGGATTTCAACAACGTCAAACAAAGCTTGAAATGTCCGCATTTTCTAATCGATGCATGCGTCTCGCACGGTTAAAAAACACTCGTCATATAAGGTGATAATGTAGGGCCTGTTTGTTTCAAGCGTAATCTTGTTGTTTTCCTGTGTATAATGGAAAATATTTGCACCGAATGGTGCACAAGAAAGGTAATAGTTGGCGAGACAGTTATGATTTTATAACAAAGTAAAGCACATAATTAAAGAATTAATCAAAGGTATTCATTTTATCTCAGCAATAACGCATTTGTTCTTGTTGGGCTTAATTATACTCATTTCCCAACAACGACACCTCAACAGTCAGATAACCTCAGGCTAAAATCATCTTGAAGTCCTCATGTAACATAGATCGTTTTATAACAATAATATTACAATGGGAACTCAGTATTTAATAATTGCATTCATTAGTAATTCATACTGCCGAGTTCTTCTAACTCCATCTCCCCTTGCTTTGCACATTAAGTTCTGTGATCAGTGATAAAGTCAATAAAGGGCAAGAAAAAAGTTCTGGAATGTTTGCTTGAAAATATGTCTATCTGATCAAATGTCAATATGAACTCGCTAAAATGCCATGAGACATTTGACCAATGTTTACTATAAATGTTCTGTTAAGTCTCTGTTCTGCGCATTTAAGATCAGTGGCAGATCCAGGGGAGGGACCCGGGATGGCCCCCCTTATTTTTAGACCAAACTGAGACCTGAAGGGCCCAAAAAATTTGGGGGGGGACCAGGCTCCCCCCATTATGCTTCCCTCTTGTCTAAGGGTCTGGGTGACTGGCCTCCCCCCCCCTTTATCTCAAGGTCTGGATCCGGCACTGAAGATGGACTTCTGTTTCGGATCATCCATATTAAAGTAGGAGTCCTGGTTAGAGATTCTGAATGAGGTCTGAAATGAAGTATTTATACAATACTCAGACAAAATTATTTCTTCGGAAATGTTCAAGAGTGGCGCATACAACAAATGTAGTTTGCATTGTCATCAATGTAATCACAGACCTCATGCACCCAGCATTGACACTTTTCACACTCTATCCACTCAAATGTGTCCTTGTCTTCACCAGGTGCGTTTTCCTTGAAACAAAATGCACACACTTGGACTTCCATGTCCTCCGATCCTTTGGAGTGGCATCTGACAGATTAGAAGAGAAGCGCTTTTGCTACTCATACAGTTTATTAGGTGGAAACAACTGTGTTTTCAGGTATTGATGGTCAGATCCAATGACAGACAATCCCTTAGCCACGGATATTGCAGATCGAATGTGCTTCAGTGTTGTATCTGTGGTGTCTTTTGTCGGGGCACTCTGAATCAATTCACTCAATCCAGCAATCTGATTAAGTGGATATGTTTTGAGGTCAGCCAGCTGTTTGTTTTCCTGGAGTTGTTTGTCCTGTTTGATAATATTAGACAACTCCTCGCGTTTCTTCTCTATGTCACTGTCACTGGTGGTCTCCAGCTCTGTACGAGGAAATTCTAAATCAGCAGGATGTTTACAGAGTCGATATGGGAGCACAACACACCCCTTATAGAATAATCAGCACAAGAACATTCAAAGGTATGTACGCAAGCATCGCAGGAAGGGCAATTCAACAGGCATGAGCAACCTGAACTTATTCTTGTCACATGATGCACAGTTTGTTTATTAGAGGCCGACTGAACTTTCCAGAAGCTCTCATCCTGCTTATAAACCGCTTCCTTCTTCACTGATTCCCCTTGTTTGTGCCGCTTGATACTTTCACGTTGTCTAACGGTATTTTTGCCCTTCTCAGCTTTAATGAGCTGCTGAAAGGCATTATCTCGAGATATTTTCTGTAGCTTAAATATCAGGTGATCAACGCCACGGTTTTGTTTCTTTTCTAGGTAAACTTCCTTGAGCATTCTATGGAAGCGCTCAACGAACATGGTGTTTGCCCGTGATCCTACCAGAAAACAAGCTGCCCGTTCCCTTGTTCTTCCCACGTATTCTTTCTCGAAATACTTAGCCAATGGCTTTGATTTGCCCTTGATCCACGCCATGAAGTGCTGCAAGGAACGCCTGAAGCTTGTTTCGGATAACTCATTCTGTAAAGACTTCAGTGCGGCATATACCTCCGCCATTTGTTCCTTGTCTTTCTAATGTTCGTTCAGTTTTCGTCGCCAGCTGCGGTCGACGTGCCAGCTACATAACAGTTTCCGGTCTGGCCTCGAAAATGTAGAAACCCAGGCGTTGTAGTAAGCGTCTGTGTCATCACTCATAAACGTTTCTGTCTGTACTTCGCTACAGCGTTCTCGTAAACTTGAAAAAAAGATCTTCAAAGCGTCCGTCGTTTCTTTGTTACTAATGAGCCACGCTACCGGTATACCTTCGTTGTAGTCATCTGTAACAAGAACTGTGACCAGCTAGAAGTCATATGCTGTCGTACCGTGGGTGGCGTCGACGCATATTAATTTCTGAGTATGTTTTTCAAACATTTATTTTTGGAACTGCGTTTGCAATACCAGTAGGAAATCTTTTTCTTCCACACCATTGAAATCAGATTTCTGGCCTTGTGGTTTGAAGAACAAAACTAGATTGAATTCCTCGCATTGCATCTCTTGTACCTAGTAGAGAACACTGTCAGTGTCA